TCGCTGAGCATGATCCCTTCTAGCTCCATCCATGTTGCTGCCAACTGCATGTGTTTATCTTTTTGATAGCTGAGTAATATTACATGGTGTATATGTACCACATCTTCTTGATCCAGGCATCTATTTTTGGACATTTGGGTTGCTTCCATAGCTTAGCTGCTATAAACATAGGGGTGCAGGTGCCCTTTGGAATTGATGTTTCTGTGTCATTTGGGTAAATCCCTAGGAGTGGAATTGCTGGATCATATGGAAGCTCTATGTTTAGTAGGTCCAGAAATCTCCACACAGCTCTCCATAGTGGTTGGACCAGTTTGCACTCCCACCAGCAGTGCAGGAGAGTTCCTTTTTCTCCACACCCTCTGCCAACATTTGTTGTTTTAGTTAAGTTATAATGCCCATTATCTCACTGGTGTGAGATGGTATCTCATTGCAGTTTTGATTTGCATTTCCCTGATTACAAGTGATGTTGAACATTTTTCATATGCCTATTGGCCATTTGCATTTCCTCTTCAGAGAAGTTTCTTTTAGCTCTTCTGCCCATTTTTTGACTGGATTATTTTCTTTGTTTTTGTTGAGTCTCATCAGCTCTTTGCAGATTTTTGTGATCAGTCCTTTATCATTAGTGTTGTGTGCAAAAATGTTCTCCCAGTTGGTGGGGTTTCTCTTTGTTTTTGTTATTGTCTCTTTTGCTGTACAGAGCTCTTTAATTTGATATAGTCCCAGCTGTTTATCTTTGCCTTCACTATCACTGCTTTGGGTGATATTTCTGGATGGTCTCACTCATAGCAGGAATCTAGAAAACTTAAATAAGAGACCAGGAAAAAGAATAACTATAAGAAAGAAAATAAAATCAAAAAACAACTATGGGGCCTCCCCGGTGGCGCAGCGGTTGAGCGCTGGGTTATGAAGCTGCCTGCAGCCTCTGCAGCGCCGGTTCCATCCCCGGCTGCTCCCCAGCCACCAAAGGGAGGGTCCCACTTGGCGCGCAGACCTCTCTTGCCACCCGCTGCTCTCCTCAGCAGTGTACTTCGGTCCTTCTGCCTGCTCTGCTCCCCGCTCTGGCTCTGGTGAATTCTCTCACCCTCCTGCGCTACTGACTGTACCCAGTGCTTGTATAAATAAATAAAAATAAATCTCTAAAAAAACCAAAAAAACAAAAAAAACAACTGTGAACCAGAGACACTCTATGGGGGATGGGGGGTGGGGAAAAGAGGGATTGGGGTCAAAATAAGGGGGTTGCAATTGTATGGGGAATATAAAAATAAAATTAAAAAAAAGTCTATAGAATCTAAAAAAAAAATCATTTTCTATTTAGAAAAAAAAAGATGTCTTTGAGGTGCACGTCATGTAGTGTTTCGCCTATATTTTCTTCTATGTATTTTATGGTTTCAGGTCTTATGTCTAGTTCTTTAATACATTTTAAGTTGGTTTTTGTGCATGGTGTGAGGTAGTGGTCAAGCTTCATTCTTTTGCATGTAATGACTCAGTTTTCCCAGCACCATTTATTGAACAAACTTTCTTTGCTCTAGTGCATATTCTAAAAAGATTTATTTATTGATGCATACAAGAGCTGGGGTATAGGCCAGAGGTGTGTGGGGGCGGTGAGAGGATTCACCAGAGACAGAGTAGGGAACAGAATAAGCAGATCGACCGAAGTACACTGCTGAGGGGAGCAGCGGACGAGACAGGAGAGGTCTGCTGATCCATGTGGGTAGCTCCCTGGCTAGGATTGAACTCGTGCTGCAGTGGCAGCGGACAGCTGCAGAGGCTGTGTGTTAACCTCTTGTGCCACCAGGGAGGCCCCCAAAATAGAATATTGATCAAATGAGTTACATATGCTAACACATGGCTCAGTGAAGAAGAATCACGTTGTTCTGAGGAACAAAATGTGTTTTACTACTTCTATAACCCATATTCCTTTCAACTCTTCCTTCCTTTCTTCCTTTCCTTTTTCTTCCTCTGACTAATTTTATTAACATTAAATAAGTCATTTCCCTCCCCCATGCAGTGTATGTCATTTTACTTTAAGAAAAAATAGCTAATCTCATGAGAGTGTCTATTGATGATTTTGCACTGTTTCTGAAATCTTCTTTAATGGCCTCTCCCATATAAGATTTTGATTATAAAGCCTCAAACTGGAAATGATTTTATGCTAATCAAAACAGCCCCAAACATAGGCCTAGCAGAGGTGAAGTTGAAGTGTTTTCTTCTGATTTCATGGTCATTATCATAATGACTCTGGAAATATTATGGCTTTAGTTAAGGGTAAATGTTGATCCTGAGAGTTTGAAAAAAGTTGCAATCTGTGTCCACCAAACTCAACTGAGTAATCAACCATGCACCAAGGGAACAGAGCGTGGAGTGGTGGGGGACATGTTGGTCAAAAGATAACAAACTTTTCCTGAAGTTAAGTAAATTCTGAGCATCTAGACTGCTGCATAACTATAGTTAACAAAATGATACTGCCTATTCAAAAGTTGCTGAGATTTTAATTTTTTTTTTTTTTTAGGACTGTTGATATTTGTTTACTTGTACTGTGGTAACATTGGTTTACAATACTACATATAATTAGTGTTTCCGAGGAGTGGAATTGTTGGGCTATAAGAGAATTGATTTTAGATGTTCACACCACACACACAAAAGAAAGGGAACGGTGAGCTGATGGAGGTGTTTAACTTTATTGTGGTAATCATTTCATGACATAATATACATATATCAAAATCATCATATTGTGTTAAATTTACAGAAGGTTTTATATGCAGCTGGACTCCTGGAGAAAGAAAAACTGAAGAAACACAAGAATACTAAGGAATCAGGTCCCTTAGAAAAACACGGTTCTGTGAGTGGTTGAGAGAGCAACCTGCAGAGAAGTAATTAGGACAATGGACTAGCCCAGAGGTTGGGTAATTCTAGATGGTGAAGGTATATAAATCAGGTTGCCTCAAGATTCTCAAAGTTGGTCTTGTCAGTGTTGGTCATGTCAGAGATGCCCCACACTGGCATGCAGATTATTTTGAGCTGAGAACAATGAAGGCCCTAGAGGATTAGGAGAAGCTCTTGCTTCCCCCTAATCCTGTTACCTCACCCTCAACTGCTCCTTCTACTGACCTAGAAGAATGTAGTTGGGGATGAGGAGGTTCATCCAGGTGTTGGTTTATCAGTAAACATGTCCTTTCTCTCTGAGATACTTATTTTTCCTCTTTAAGATTAATCCTTCCTTGTCATGTGGAGTCCCTTTCTTCTTTCCTGGGCCCCTGGACTCTGTTACCTCTTTCCTTGGTTTAGCATTTAAGCCCCATTTGCTCTGACCAAAAGCAAGATCTGCATAATCATGGTAGCTCCCTGAGTGTCCATGCTATTTAACTGATTTTTACTTTGTCAACCCTCTGGTGATATTTTGATTATTCAAACCCAGAGGAGTGGGAATTTTTCCCCTGTGCCCAGACATTGGCAAAATCCTGTGTGGGAAGCAAAAATGCTCTGTAGGACAATGTGTGTAGGTCTTGTTGATGAGTGTAAGGAAATGAAGATCTGACTATTGGGAAGTGAGTTTCTTTCTAACTCAGACTTTGTTTGTATGATGATAGGTATGATTAGAAATATACAGAGAGATTTATGCACAGAAAATTGTTGTTTAAGCAACAATTCTTTTATTTGTTAAGACAGGTGTTCCAATTGTAGAGATGAGAGTTGATTTCCATTCAGAAGCAATTCATCTCTGTTTCCATTAACCAGCTTAGAGCCTGGTTCAAAATGCAGTTAATTTTATTTATATGATGCCTCTAGCTTCTGAATGCCTCACGAAACATAAATCAGGTTTTAAGAGCAAGATGTTAAATAAGCTTCTCGACTTAAAAAAAAAAAAAAGTGTCAGGGATAGGACTAGGGGAGGGTTGAGTTGGCAATGAAAACCAAAGTCCCTGATCTTTGCTCATTCTGTGATTTATGGAAAAAGGGGTCAAAGTAGCATCTCTGTTGCTGCATATCATTAACAAGAAGAAAGTTTCTAAGGATTGACCCCCATGTCTACATAAAGCAAATGCCCAGAAACTAATTACCTTTTCTTCAGGTCATTTGAACTATTTGGTGTCTTGATTTTGTCATTGACCTGAAGAAGGTACACTGTCTGTTGATGATTGTAAGCTATTTATTACAAGACCAGGATGGTAAAGCAGAGCAAGAACTTTATTGCTCATCCAGCAATGGAGAAGAGGTTTTAACTCCTAATTGCAAATTACCTTCTCACTGCGAGAAGGGAGAGAGAGAGAACTATTTTAAAAGTGATCAGGGAGGGCCTCCCCGGTGGTGCAGCAGGTTGAAAGCTGCTGTGAAGCTGGCCGCAGCCTCTGCAGCACCAGTTCATTTCCCAGCCCACCAGGGAGATTCCCACATGGCGCAGCAGACCTCTCTTGCCTCATCTGCTGCTCCCCTCAGCAGTGTACCTTGTTTCTTCTGCCTGTTCTGCTCCCTGCTCTGTCTCTGGCCTGTACCCCAGTGCTTGCTTGTATAAATAAATAAAATCTTAAAAAAAAAAAGTGAATCAGGGAGAGGATGGTTAGGTACAAAGGAAAGGTGTGGGGAAATTTTCCTTCAGAACCAGCCCTGCCCTTCTGTTACATGCTTGTTTCTCCCTGATAGCTGTGCAACTCCAAACTGGTTCTGGCAGGATCTTCCATTTGACCTTTTGAATAGCAACAACTCCTTCAAAAGATTCTACCTAGAACAAAACAACTTGATCAGTGCTCAATAAAATAT